CTCGGGGGCGTGTGCGGAGATGGACACGCCTCATGATGCCCTCTGCCCTTGAAAATGCAGGAAACGTCACCAGCACCTGAAGAAATGTCACCAGCGTTTCACATCAACACAGACCCGAAGAAACGTCACCAGCATTTCACATCAACACAGACCCGAAGAAACGTCACCAGCATTTCACATCAACACAGACCCGAAGAAACGTCACCAGCATTTCACATCAACACAGACCCGAAGAAACGTCACCAGCATTTCACATCAACACAGACCTGAAGTCTGATAAGAAGCATTTACCTCTTTTCTCTCTGAGGCCTGCTACCTGGAGGCTTCATCTGCCTGACAAAACTTTGGTCTCCACAACTTCTTATCATAACCCAGACTCCCTCCTATTGATAATTTTCAGCCAATTGCCAATCAGAAAAATCTTTGTTTGTTTTTGTTTTTTTGAGGAGGAGTTTCACTCTTGTTACCCAGGCTGGAGTGCAATGGCACAATCTCGGCTCACCGCAACCTCCGCCTCCTGGGTTCAGGCAATTCTCCTGCCTCAGCCTCCGGAGTAGCTGGGATTACAGGCACACATCACCATGCCCAGCTAATTTTTTGTATTTTTAGTAGAGACGGGGTTTCACCATGTTGACCAGGATGGTCTCGATCTCTTGACCTCGTGATCCACCCACCTCGGCCTCCCAGAGTGCTGGGATTACAGGCGTGAGCCACCGCGCCCGGCCCAGAAAATTCTAAGTCTACCTGGGACCTGGAAGCACCCGCTTTGAGCTGTCCCACCTTTCTGGACTGAACCAGTGTATATCTGTCATGTATTTGATTGGTGTCTCATGTCTCTCTAAAATATATAAACCCCAGATGTGCCCGACCCCCTTAGACACATGTTCTCAGGACCTCCTGAGGGCTGTGTCTCAGGCTGTGGTCGCTCACATTTGGTTCAGAATAAATCTGTTCATATATTCTACAGAGTTTGGCTCTGTTCATGGACACTTGGTAAAATGTCCCTGAAATACAAGGTTATGGATCTGCTGTACCCTGGCTCCTCAGGCCACCACAAAGTCGCTCTGGATTCACTGGGTGGAAAACCTTCCTCTTTCAACCTGGGCCCAGTGGTTGGAGGCCTGTAGATTAGCTGAGACAAAACAGATTAACAGGAGGAAAGATTGAACATATTTACACACGCACCTGAGAGGTGCTCAGTAATGAGTAACTCACCGAGTACCCAGAAATAAAGGTGTGTTTACCAAACGTAACATCAGGGAAGGGTAGGGCTTCGGTGGGAAGCACGGAAGCTTGCACTGGGCTAATGGCAGTGGCCAGTATGTCTCCAAGGCAGCCGAACTGGCAGGGAACTGCCGTGGCCTCTGCGTTTTGGGGAGGCTCTGCTTTAGTCAGGAAAGGACAATTCAGACAAGATTTCTTCCTGCATCTTCTGTATCTCAAATGTTTTCGCATTTCTTTATTTGTTTGTTTGTTTAAGACAAAATCTCACTCTGTTGCCCACGCTGGAGTGCAATGGCTCGGTCTCGGCTCACTGCGACCTCCACTTCCTGGATTCAAGTGATTCTTCTGCCTCAGCCTATAAAGTGGCTGGGATTACAAGTCTGTGACACCACACCTGGCTAATGTTTATATTTTTAGTAGAGACGGGGTTTCACCATGTTACCAGGTTGGTCTCTAATTCCTGGCCTCAAGTGATCCACCCACCTTGGCCTCCCAAAGTGCTGGGATTACAGGTGTGAGCCACCGCGCCCGGCCAGTTTTCACTTTAAAATGATCTTTAATACCAACTCTTGGGTCTGAATGGGCCTCCACTGGTTTCAAATGTTGAGCATGCACAGATTATGTGGATGATAACTGGCCAGGCAGGATTACAGACACAGATGTGGTCAGAATCACCTAAGTTGGCCGGGTGCCATGGCTCACGCCTGTAATCCCAGCACTTTGGGAGGCCGAGGTGGATGGATCGCCTGAGGTTAGGAGTTCGAGACCAGCCTGGCCAACATAGTGAAACCCTATCTCGGCCAGGCGTGGTGGCTCATGCCTGTAATTCCAGCACTTTGGAAGGCCAAGGCGAGCATATCACCTGAGGTCAGGGTCAGGAGTTCCAGACCAGCCTGGCCAACATGGCGAATCCCCATCTTGAAAAAAAAAGAAAGAAAGAAACCCTATCTCTACTGAAAATACAAAAAAAGAAATAGCTGGGTATGGTGGCAGGTACCTGTAATCCCAGCCACTTGGGAGGCTGAGGCAGGATAATCACTTGAACCGGGAGGCAGAGGTTGCAGTGAGCTGAGATTGCGCCGTTGCACTCCAGCCTGGGCAACAAGAGCAAAACTCCATCTCAAAAAGAAAAAAAAGAAGAAGAATCACCTAAATTTGCAAGGCCCCGAGAGCAGGTGCTCTCCACACCGAGGCTTATTTCCTCCGGTTGCAGAAGAGGAAGCACCAGGGAGCCCAGTATTCTTTGGCTCACTCACTTCTTTCATTATGTGTAACCTACATAGTATAAACTATGGGCCGGGCACGGTGGCTCACATCTGTAGTCCCAGCACTTTGGGAAGCCGAGGCGGGTGGATCACGAGGTCAAGAGATCGAGACCATCCTGGTCAACATGGTGAAACCCCATCTCTACTAAAAACACAAAAAATTAGCTGGGCACTGTGGCGCGTGCCTGTAATCCCAACTACTCAGGAGGCCGAGGCAGGAGAATTGCCTGAACCCAGGAGGCAGAGGTTGCAGTAAGCCGAGATCACGCCATTGCACTCCAGCCTGGGTAACAAGAACGAAACTCCGTCTCAAAAAAATAAATAAATAAATAAATAAATAAATAAACTATGTCCATCTTAAGTAGCGTATAACCTGATGGATTTTTACATATGTAATGTGTATATGCCCCAGATGTATACAACACTCAGGTCAAGATTCAGAATGTGCTCAGCGCCTCAGCAGATCCTTGTGTTCCCTTCCGGTCAGGCCCCACTTGCTGCCACAGAATGTAACAATCATTCTTGGTTTTTAGAGAAAGGGTCTGGCTCTGTCTCCGAAGCCGGAGTGCAGTGAGTGGTTTCATCATGGTTCCCTGCAGCCTCTGCCTCCCAGGTTCGAGCAACCCTCCCATTTCAGTGTAACCACCATTCTGACCTCTATCGCCATAGATGAGTTCTGCCTGTCTTTGAATTTCATACAGATGCTCTTTTGTGTCTGGATTCTTTGTTGACACTACGTCTGTGAGACTCAGCCATGTGCTGTTTAAGTATTTTTTTTTTTTTTTTTTACAGACTACATCTTTGCCAGATACTTGACTTTAAAGGGATTGTAACTGTTGGGGCCATGCCTGTCAATTATTTCTTAGAACTAGTGTTTACTAATTACTGGATAATATTTGGCAGAGGTTATAAAATTGTCCTGTTTATTAAAAAATATTGCTATAGAACTTCAGAACTTATTTCTATCTAAATGTAAAGCCCTGTATGATTACTACAGTGTATCATAATATGTTATATATTTTCAAATAGCTAGAAGTAAAGAGAATAGATCTTCCCACAACAAAGAAATGATAAATGTTTGAGATGATAGATATGCTAATGACTGTGATCTGGTCACTATACATTGTATCTATTGAAACATCATGATGTTTAAGTATTTTACTTCATCTGTTTTTGTCGTTGGGTAGTATTCCATTGCATAAATGTAACACAATTTATTTGTCCATTTTCCTATTGCTGGGCATTTGGATTATTTTGTTTTTCACTATTTTGAATAAAGCTGCTATGAACGTTCTTGCATGTATCTTGGGTGTACAGATGGTCCCAACTTACAATGATTTGACTTAAAATTTTTTTGACTTTACGATGGGCTTATCAGAGGCTTACATGTTTCTGACTTACCACTTGTTTATCGGGACATAACCCCTTCCTAAGACGAGGAACCGAGGAACATCTGTATGTATCCAGAATCCTGTGCAGCAACTCGTAACTCATGAGGAATGGGAGCCGACAGATTCATTCCCAGGACAGACGGTTCTCAGATACATCTCAGAAAGCTTCTCAGAAGATCGTACAGGATCAAGCAACCAGCCAGCCAGAGCAGGGGCCAACTGGATAACACATCTCTGCACGGGCTCTCCCTCTGTCCCTGTTCTAACCTTGCTCTCCTTTTCCTAACCTTGCTCTGAGATTATGTTCCAAAATAAATTATTCAGAGAAATGGAGCTAAAGCTGACCCATTAGCCAATGGCTGCGTCCTGCGCTGACCGGGCTTCTGTGCTATAAACATTTACTGAGAAACCAGCGTTCCCTTGGGGAAAATGGTCATTCCATTCAGCTGCAGCATAGGAAGGGGGTGGGGCAGGGGATTAGCAGGAGATAAGACCAGAAATGTGCACTGGGGCCCTGTTGGGGACTGCGCCAAGCGTAGGCGTTCAGCCTTTCTTCTGTAGATGATGGGAAGCCAGGTCCAGTGGTGGGTTTGAGCAGGAAACAGCAGTACCAGAGCTCTGCTTGGGCGGAGGCCAGCAAGGGAAGAGTTAGGGCGAGAGGACCAGGTAGGAGGCTGTGACCTAGGGCTTCAGCAGTGGGACTAGAAGGGGATGGATATGAACGATATTACAAAGTAAAACTAGAGAGACTTGGCGACTTGCAGAGAGAAGCAGAAGATGACCCTGAGGCCTGGAGTCCAGGAAGCCAAGGATAGGGAAACCATCCACAGAAACAGAAAAGGGTAGAAAGGGTAGCTGTGGAAGGGAAAGTGATTGGTTCATCAGACCCCACAGCCCCTGGAAGCCCCCTCCTCAATCTCGGAAATCCCATGCACCCCAGGAGACTGCCAGAGGCCCATCTGGGCTCACTGGAGAAAGGTCGGCCGCCTCTCCTTTCATTTCTGGGGAGAGGAAGCCTGAACATAAGGCCTGGACTACGGGCTCAGACCAGAATATTTCCGGACTTAAGGGCGGTAATGTGGAGCCCGGGAAGGAATATTGAGGAGACAGCACAAATTACTTAGCTAAAGGGATGCTGGGTTTTTATTTTCTACTTTCAAGAAATGTTTGCTATAGTAATTGCAACCATCACAAAACAATGAATAAAAACGTGAGCCAAACGTTTCATAACTTGTATCACTGATTCTACACACATTTAAATGTGTTCATGACAGCTGTAGATTTCAGTTTTGCTCTGGCTAAACCAATGCAGAAGTACACAGGATGCGAGCTGAGAGACAAGCACACCTGGCCCAGCAATTCTGGCCTCAGCCAGCCACGCTGGGGACGGATGACCTCTGCTCCATGGATCCTGCTGGCTCGGTGTGTGGAAGGGGCCTCAGGAGCGGCGTCAGGCTTTCTTCTTGATCCCCTCTATGGCCATGGAGAACGGCATTCCTGGGAGGCCGGTTTGGAGAAGCCGCTGAACCTAAGTGAGCAGGAAGCGAAGTTCTCTTCCCACCTGTGCTGTTGCCTCGTGGGGAACAGTCACCAGGAGCCAGGCCCTCTCCACGTCTGACCTCAATCAATCCTACCTCGTGGGGCCACTAACCAGGAGCCAGGCCCTCTCCACGCCTGACCTCAATCAATCCTCCCTTGTGGGGCCACTCACCAGGAGCCAGGCCCTCTCCACGCCTGACCTCAATCAATCCTCCCTCGTGGGGCCACTAACCAGGAGCCAGGCCCTCTCTATGCCTGACCTCAATCAATCCTCCCTTGTGGGGCCACTCACCAGGAGCCAGGCCCTCTCCACGCCTGACCTCAATCAATCCTCCCTTATGGGGCCACTCACCAGGAGCCAGGCCCTCTCCACACCTGACCTCAATCAATCCTCCCTCGTGGGGCCACTAACCAGGAGCCAGGCCCTCTCTATGCCTGAGCTCAATCAATCCTCCCTATGCCCCTATCAGGCAAGCTCTAGGAGACACATGAGGAAACTGAGGCTCAGAAAGGCTGAGAAAGTGGCTTGAGGTCACCCAGGCAGTAAGCGGTAGAGCTAGGAGTTGAACTCAAGTCCATCTGACTATCAAGCCCACCCTCTTTCCATTGCACTATCTGCTTTTCTTTCTGCCCAAAGTCATAATATGCCAGGATGTGGGCCAAGGCCTCTCCTCCAGTGCTGGGCAGAGGGCTCTGGACAGATCTTGAGGCCAAGATGTTATCCCGTGTAATGTAATGCCTACATGACCTTGGTGAATATCTACCCTTTAGGAAACAGGATGCCTGAGGTCAGAACCTCTCCTTAGCTGGTGATCAAACCAGCTAAGACTGGTGGAATCCAAGATGGCAGCTCACCTGACCTCTAACTTCATTATAATCTAATTTCCATGCTAAATCACACTTCCACTGGCACCATAACAGTAATCAAGCACTGTGACAATGCTGGGGGGGCAAAAACATAAAAAAACAGATAGGAAAGTGGCACTCGGTTTGGAAAACTTCTCCACCGAGACCCAGAAAACACAATTCCTCCCTTTGCTTTTTTTATTTTTATTTTTGTAGAGATGAGGGTCTCATTACGTTGACCAGGCTGGTCTCGAACTCCTGGTCTCAAGCAATCCTCTCATCTTGGCCTCCCAAAGTGCTGGGTTTATAGGAGTAAGCCATTGGCACGTGGCCACTCCTCCTCTTGCTTTTAATGCTCAGCCCCCTTTCTATATCTGCGACTTCCCAGAGTCTCACAAGCAGAAATGGTGATTTGCGAGCCAAGCGCTCACTTCTCAGTTCCACAGCCACCAAATAAAGCCTGTACTGCTTGACCCTCACTTTCCGTTTCACATATTGGCTTCATGGCACCAAACAGGGAAAGACCCCATTTCAGGGGGAGTGGCTTTGTCAGTAACAAGGACACAGAAGGAAAGAAGAGGATGGAGGATGACCTATGGCAGAGGTCAGCAAACTACAGTCTATGGGGCAAATCTGGCCACTGCCTGTGTCTGTACGACTCATAGGCTAAGAATGTTTTCTGTGTTGTTAGATGGCAGGAGAAAAACAAAAAAGAATAATGTTTTGTGACACATGAAAAGTAGATGAGGTTCAAATTTCAGTGTCCACAGACAGCAATCCTGGCTCCTATCCCTAAAACCATCATTGCAGTGGAGCTCTGCCATAGCGAAGGCCCCTTTCTCCCTCTGGTTCCCTGACTTTGGGGTCTGGAGGCCACAAAGGCAAGGAGTAGGCTGCCATCCACCCCTTCTTGGAGAGCTTCCAGGGAGCTTACCATGCTCTGCACCCAGTCTAGACGGCTCCTAGCAGGGCTGGGTGGGTTCTCCATCCTCAGCACCATCTGCAGCCCCATCTTGGTCATCTGAGAAGCTGAAAGAAACACAAGGTGAAGGCTCCTGTCATCATTTCTGCCTCCCACACCCACTGCTGCTGCCCAGCATCCCCGGCATCTCTCTGCAGACTCCTGTCTCCCCTCAAAAGTCTACCTGCTGCCAGTCAAGAGGCATCCATACTGCAAGAAGAGAGAACGTTAAGTGGACCCCAGCCACCTCTTTCTCCTCTTCTCTACCACAGACAGCTTAACCTCTCTCTGTGGAACCTGGAAAAGTAGCTCAGAGAGGAGTAGCAGGTGGCAAGGAACATCAGGAAACAAAGCTAGAAGGAACGCGTAGGCACCTTTGACCTGATCTCAGGATTGTCAGGGGCCTTCAGAACCATCCAGGGCACATCCCAGCTTTGGCCTGACATGCAGGCAAAGGGCTCGCCTCTGCCAACCACAGCATGCAGCTTTGCTGTAGGTGGAAACAAGCCTACATGTGAGTTACCAGGGTTGCAGAGGAGACTGTAGTCTGGGCAGCAGTCTGGTACCACATGGCAGAATTCATCACAGTAGCAACCTCCCCTCTTGCAGTGGTGATCTGTTCCAAGACAGCAAAGGCGCTGGGGTTGGGAGCAGCTGCCTGGAGAACAAGGAACATTTTTTAAAAATAGACTAAAATTAGCCAGGTGTGGTGGTACATGCCTATAGTCCCAGCTACCCAGGGGGCTGAGGTAGGAGGAGCACTTGAGCCCAGAAGCTGGAAGCTGAAATGAGCCATGATCACACCACTGCACTTCAGCCTAGGTGACAGAGCAAGACCCTGTCTCAAAAAAAAGAAAAAGAAACAAAGAAAGAAAAGAAAAGATAGATTTAACAAATGGTGCTTGGACAACTGGATAAGCACATGCAAGAGAATGCATTTGGACCCCTACCTCACACCATATACAAATATTAACTCAAAATGTACCAAAGACCTAAATGTAAGAGCTGAAACTGGCCAGTCATGGTGGCTCACACCTGTAATCTTAACACTTTGAGAGACAAAGACAGGCAGATCACTTGAGGCCAGGAGTTCAAGACCAGCCTGGCCAACATGGTAAAACTCCATCTCTACTAATAATACAAAAATTAGCTGAGCGTGGTGGTGAGCACAACAGTCCCAGCTACTTGGGAGGCTAAGGCAGGAGAATTGCTTGAACCCAGGAGGTGAAGGTTGCTGTGAGCCAAGATTGCACAACTGCACTCCAGCCTGGACAACAGAGCAAGACTCTATTTCAAAAAAATAAAAATAAACAGGGGTAGCTGGCAAGATAGCCAAACAGGAACAGCTACAGCCTGTAGCTCCCAGCGAGATCAACACAGAAGGCAGGTGATTTCTGCATTTCCAGCTGAGGTAGCCAGACCATCTCAATGGGACTGGTTAGAGAGTGGGAGCTGCCCATGGAGGGTGAGCCAAAGCAGGGTGGGGTGTCACCTCATCCCAAAAGTGTAAGGGGTAGGGAACTCCCTCCCCTAGCCAAGGGAAGTCATGAGGGACTGTGCCACGAGGAACAGTGCACTCCAGCCCAGATACTATGCTTCTACCATGGTCTTTGCAACTCACAAACCAGGAGATTCCCTCAGGTGCATACGCCACCAGTGCCCTGGGTTTCAAGCACAAAACTGGGTGGCCGTTGGGCAGACACTGATCTAGCTGCAGGAGTTTCCTTTCATACCCCAGTGGTGCCTGGAATGCCAGCAAGACAGAACTGTTGACTCCCCTGGAAAGGAGGCTGAAGCCAGGGAGCCAAGTGGTCTAGCTCAGCAGATCCCCTCGCTGCCAGCACAGAAGTCTGAAGTCAACCTGGGACACTTGAGCGTGGTGTGGGGAGGGGCATCTGCCATTACTGAAGCTTGAGTAGGCGCTTTTCCCCTCACAGTGTAAACAAGGCCATCGGAAGTTTGAACTGGGTGCAGTCCACCACAGCACCTCAAAGCCATTGTAGCCAGACTGCCTCTCTAGATTCCTTTTTTCTGGGCAGGGCTTCTCTGAAATAAAGTCAGCAGCCCCAGTCATGGGCTTACAGGTAAAATTCCCATCTCCCTGGGACAGAGCACCTGGGGGAAGGGGCAGCTGTGGGCACAGCTTCAGCAGACTTAAACGTTCCATGGCTCTGAAGACAGTAGTGGATCTCCCAGCACAGCACTCAAGCTCTGCTAAGGGATAGACTGCCTCCTCAGGTAGGTCCCTGAGTCCCATGCCTCCTGACTGGGAGACACCTCCCAGCAGGGGTCGACAGACACCTCATACAAGAGAGCTCCAGCTGTCATCTAGTGGGTGGGTCCCCCAGAGGGGGACAAACCTTCCAGAAGAAGGGACAGGCAGCAATCTTTGCTGTTCTGCAGCCTCTGCTGGTGATACCCAGGCAAACAGGGTCTGGAGTGGACCTTCAGCAAACTCCAGCAGGCCTGCAGCAGAGACCTGACTGTTAGAAGCAAAACCAACAAACAAAAAGGAACAACATCAACATCAACAAAAAGGACGTCCACACAGACACTCCATCCAGAGGTCACCAACATCAAAGACAAAGGTAGATAAATCCATGAAGATGTGAAAAAAACAGTGCAAAATGACTGAAAATTCCAAAAACCAGAACACCTCTCTGCAAAGGATCAAACTCCTCACCAGCAAGGGAACAAAACTGGACAGAGAATGAGTTTTATGAGTTGACAGAAGTAGGCCTCAGAAGGTGAGTAACAAACTCCTCTGAGCTAAAGGAGCATGGGTTCCAAGCCAGTGCTAAAAACCTTGAAAAAAGGTTAGAGGAATTGCTAACTAGAATAACCAGTTTACAGAAGAACATAAATGACCTGATGGAGCTGAAAAACACAGGAAGAGAACTTCATGAAGCAGACACAAGTATCAATAGGTGAATAGATTAAGTGGGAGAAAGGATTTCAGAGATTGGGGATCAACTTAATGAAATAAAGCATGAAGACAAGATTAGAGAAAAAAACAGGGAAAGGAATGAACAAAGCCTTGAAGAAATATGGGGCTATGTGAAAAGACCAAACCTACATTTGATTGGAGCACCTGAGAGTGACAGGAGAGTGGAACCCAGCTGGAAAACATCCTTCAGGACATTATCTAGGAGAACTTCTCCAACCTAGCAAGACAGGCCAACATTCAAATTCAGGAAATATAGAGAACACCACAAAGATACTCCTTGAGAAGATCAGCCCCAAGATATATAATTGTCAGATTCACCAGGGTTGAAATGAAGGAAAAACCGCTAAGGGCAGCCAGAGAGAAAAGTCGGGTTGCCCAGAAAGGGAAGCCCATCAGACTGACAGTGGATCTCTTGGCAGAAACCCTACAAGCCAGAAGAGAGTGGAGGCCAATGTTCAACATTCTTAACGAAAATAATTTTCAACCCAGAATTTCATATCCTGCCAAACTAAGCTTCATAAGCAACAGAGAAATAAAATTATTTATGGACAAGCAAATGCCGAGAGATTTTGTCACCACCAGGCCTGCCTTACAAGAGCTCCTGGAGGAAGCACTAAACACGGAAAGGAAAAAGTGTTACCAGCCGATGCAAAAACATATCAAATTGTAAACACCAATGACACTATGAAGAAACTGCATCAACTAACAAGCAAAATAACCAAGTATCATCATAATGACAGGATCAAATTCACACATAACAATATTAACCTTAAATGTAAATGGGCTAAATGCCCCAATTAAAAGACACAGACTGGCAAATTGGATAAAGAGTCAAGATCCATCAGTGTGCTGTATTCAGGAGATCCATCTCACGTGCAAAGACAGACATAAGCTCAAAATAAAGGGACGAAGGAAAATTTACCAAGCAAAAGGAAAGGAAAAAAAAGCAGGGGTTGCAATTCTAGTCTCCGATAAAACAGACTTTAAACCAACAAAGATCAAAAAAGATGAAGAAGACCATTACATAACGGTAAAGGGGTCAATGCAACAAGAAGAGCTAACCATCCTGAATATATATGTACCCAATATAGGAGCACCCAGATTCATAAAGCAAGTTCTTAGAGACCTACGAAGAGACTCAGACTCCCACACAATAATAGTGGGACACTTTAACACCCCACTGTCAATATTAGACAGATTAATGAGACACAAAATTAACAAGGATATCCAGGACTTGAACTCAGCTCTGGACCAAGTGGACCTGATAGACATTTACAAAACTCTCCACCCCAAATCAACAAAACATACATTTTTCTCAGCACCACATCACACTTATTCTACAATTGACCACATAATTGGAAGTAAAACACTCCTCAGCAAATGCAAAAGAATGAAAATCATAACAAACAGTCTCTCAGACCACAGTGCAATCAAATTAGAACTCAGGATTAAGAAACTCACTCAAAACCGCACAATGACATGGAAACTGAACAACCTGCTCCTGAGTGACTACTGGGTAAATAACAAAACTAAGGCAGAAATAAATAAGTTCTTTGAAACCAATGAGAACAACGACACAATGTACCCAAATCTCTGGGACACAGCTGAAGCAGTGTTTAGAGGGAAATTTGTAGCACTAAATGCCCACTGGAGAAAGCAGGAAGGATCTCAACGGAACACTCTAACATTGCAATTAAAAGAACAGGAGAAGCAAGAGCAAACCAACTCAAAAGCTAACAGAAGACCAGAAATAACAAAGATCAGAGCAGAACTGAAGGAGATAGAGATACGAAAAGCCCTTCAAAAAAAAAAAATCAATAAATTCAGGAGCTGGATTTTTTTGAAAAGATTAATAAAATAGGTAGACCACTAGCCAGACTAATAGAGAAGAAAAGAGAAAAGAATCAAATAGACACAATAAAAAAATGATAAAGGGGATATCACCACAGATCCCACAGAAATACAAGCATCAGAGAATACTGTAAACACTTCTACACAAATAAACTAGAAAATCTAGAGAAAATTTGATAAATTCCTCAACACATACACCTTCCCAAGACTAAACCAGGAAGAAGTCAAATCCCTGAATAGATCAATAAGAAGTTCTGAAATTGAGGCAGTAATTAATAGCCTACCAACCAAATTTACCAAGCAAATGGATTCACAGCCGAATTCTACCAGAGGTACAAAGAGGAGCTGGTATCATTCCTTCTGAAATATTCCAAACAATAGAAAAAGAGGGAATCCTCCCTAACTCATTTTATGAGGCCAGCATCATCCTGATACTAAAACCTGGCAGAGACTCACACAAAAAAAAGAAAATTTCAGGCCAATATCCCTGATGAACATCAATGCGAAAATCCTCAGTAAAATACTGGCAAACCAAATCCAGCCGCACATCAAAAAGCTTAGCCACCACAATTGAGTTGGCCTCACCCCTGGGATGCAAGTCTGGTTCAACATTAAGTCTGTGAGAAACCGGTTGTCCATAAACCTTCAGACTTCAGAGGACTGTTTAAACAATGCCAAGCAACGGCTGGCTGAAGGTCTCTATTCCCATATGGTTTTCAGGTTTGAGTTCTTTTCCAAGAATAAATAAAACTTACTGTTCTCAACCGAAAGAGCATTTGTATGCAGCATTTTCTTATTAAGCAGTACAACATTTCTTTTTAAAATTGACATACATTTCACGTGTCACATTGCATGTTTCT